GGTTAAGCGACTACCTTCGGCTCAGGTCATGATCCTGGAGTCCCGGGATCGAGTCCCGCATCGGGCTCCCTGCTCAGCGGGGACTCTGCTTCTCCCTCTGACCCTCCCTCCTCTCATGTGCTCTCTCTCTCTCATTCTCACTCTCTCAAATAAGTAAAATCTTTAAAAAATAAAAAAGATTTTATTTATTTGAGAGAGAGAGAGAGAGCATGAGAGGGGGGAGGGTCAGAGAGAGAAGCAGAGTCCCCGCTGAGCAGGGAGCCCGATGCGGGACTCGATCCCGGAACTCCAGGATCATGACCTGAGCCGAAAGCAGACGCTTAACCGACTGAGCCACCCAGGCGCCCAAGTAGACCATTTTGAGAAATATGTAGGAGAGAGAATAAAAGAGACTTCATTATTATTATTATTAATTATTAATCATAATTAAGCTAACATTGTTTGGACTGTTATTTGCTAGTCACTCTATTGGCACTCTACACTTATTATCTTATTTAAACCCCACTTCAATCCTCTGAGGGCAGATGCTTCTGTTAGGTCTATTTGGTAGATGGGGAAGCTAAACTTAGAAATATTAAGTAACTAGATTGAATATGAGGAAGAGTTATCAAATCGCCAGGTTTCTACACGACCTGGTAAATGGTGCTGTTTACTAATATTGGGAACACTAGTGGAGAAGAACATTTCAGGAAGAAAGATTATGAGTTCAGTTTTGGATATGTTGAGTTTGAGGTTCCTATAGGATAATTGAATTGGAAATGTTGAGCAGCCCATTGGATATGTGTGCTCAGAAGAGAGGTCTGGCTGGCAATAACATTCATGAGTGTCTGTATATAGACTGTTGAATCCATAGGAGTTGGGTGAGGTTACTTACAGAAGGGGTGTAAGTTGAAAAGAAAAGGGGGCCTAGAACTGATCTCTGAGGTGTGTCAACATTTAAAAACCAAGTAGATCAGGAAGAGTTGACAAAGGAGACTGAGCAAGAGGTAAGAGGGAGAGAAAGAGAAGGAGCTATCACAGAAGTCAAGAAAAGTATTTTTAAAAAAGAGGAGTTATCCATTGTATCAAATATTCCTAAGAAGCCAACAGATAAAGTGTCTGTTGGATTTGGTGACGTGGAGGTCATTGGTGACCCAGATGGGAGCCTGTTCCATGTAATGGCAATGGAAGCCAGAGGGTTGGTTTGAGGATGGAGGGAAAATGAAAAGTGAAGGTGGTCAGCATAGATAATTATTTAGAGAAGTTTCATTTTGAAGGGAGAAGGAGCGGTGTTGAGGGGTGTGAGCCCAGGAAGAGTTTTTTGCTTTGTTTATTAAACTGTTAGGTAGACTAAAGCATGCTGAGATGCTGTTGGACAGACCGTAGGGAAGAGCAAGAGATAGAACAAATGGGGAAGAGGAATCAGTCAGTGTCAGGTTCCTGAGAAGATGGGAAGGAAGAATTGGTTGGTTTATGGATGGAAGAGAAGGGAAAGAGGAGATGTCCAAATACAGATACGTTTATAGATTTGGTTGCCTTTATGAGAAGGCCTAACTAAATCTTTAAAATGTTAGCTTTTTAAGTCACATTTGCTTCAATAAGGCATTTTTTCCCTGTCCCCAATGTCATCTCCTAAGAAGATCATATTTTTTTGTTAGACATATGATTTGATGGAACTAATAATATGAGTACGGATATGCATTTGAATGCATTCTTTTTTTTTTTTTAAGAAACGAAACCCTTGCATTTTATATATTTAGCCAGAAGTTTGAAAGATTAAGACTGTGAGAAAGAAAGAAGGAATGTATTTCATCATACCTTTCAGAAATGCTAATCAGTTCATTAAGTTTAGTTGCTAATAAATAAGAGAAAACATGTCTGCTATGAAATTGTGTCAGGAAATGTTAATGAGCAACTAGTTGAGACCTCAGTACATTGTGGATAAACGTTTAAACTTGTCTTATTCCCCTTTGCTTAGGTTGGCTTTTTTCCCCTGACGTGCTCCTATCTTTATGCAGGCCCTCCTCATAGTGGGAAGACTGCTTTAGCAGCGAAGATTGCAGAGGAATCCAACTTCCCCTTCATCAAGATCTGTTCTCCTGATAAAATGATTGGCTTTTCTGAGACAGCCAAGTGTCAGGCCATGAAGAAGGTATCAAGATTTTTACTTTCATTTTAATCTCCTATCTCTTAGATACGTGTGTGTACACATGTACCTGTATATCTATCTTTGTACATGTACATATGTAAAAGCCATAGCAACTATATTCTTCTCAAGTGGAACTAAATTATCAGCAGAATTTGGGAGGAAACAATCATTGTTTTAGGTAGATTTAACTTTGTATTGCATTCTTATTAGCATTTTTTAATCTTCCAAATTATGTGGGGTTTTTTAAAGATTTATTTGAGAGAGAGCAAATGATTGGGGGGAGGGGCAGAGAGAGAGAGAGAAGCAGACTCCCCACTGAACAGGGAACCCGATTTGGGGCTTGATCCCAGGACCCTGAGATCATGACCTGAGCCGAAGGCAGATGCTTAACCAACTGAGCCACCCAGGTGCCCCCAAATTATGTTTTGTTTAATACATATTACAGTTAATTTTCATTTCTTAAGTTTGTATTGACTTGATTGAAAGAAAGATCAAGTTAAAAGTATTTGAGTAGAGGGACACTTGGGTGGCTCAGTCGGTTAAGCATCCCACTCTTGATTTCTGCTGAGGTCATGATCTCAGGGTCCTGGGATTGAACCCTCCGTTGGGCTCTGCGCTCAGTGCAGAGTCTGCTTGTACCTCTCCCTTTGCTCCTCCTCTTGTTCACTTTCTCTCTCTCTCTCTCTCTCTCTGTGTCCCTCTAAAATAAATAAATCTTTTTTTTAAAAAAGTATTTGAGTAGAGTGGAGCAAACTCACTTAGGATTTTTTTTTTTAATCAGTGTACAAAATCGCACTGTTTAGGGTCAATTAGGTTGACTTTGTAGTTTGGAAAAGAATAGAGGTACATCTTTGGAAAGATATTCTCAAAACCCCTACAAAGGGATGATGGTCCTTTAGGACAATCAGAGTTTGCTTGTCAACTTAACACAGCCCTCATCCTTCTTCCTATCTCTAAGTGCCATTTGTCACCTTAATGCAGCTGCTTTGAACCGTCAGGGAAAGTTAGAGCAACATAGAATAGAATCCTAGAGCTGAAAGGACTCTAAGACCATCTGGTCCATCTCTTACATTCAAGCAAGTGCCATGTATGGCTTCTAGGATAGTAAGTGGCTACTCTTTAAAAACAACAAAAGTCACTGATGAAGATGTAATGACTGTTTCATGTCACTTGGTAGCCTGTGTTCCCAGATATTCTGATTTGGTATACTCCCAGACAGTGAAGAAGTTATTTTTTTATATCTAGTTGAAGTATTTCTTTTACTTAAATCCGATTTTTCATGCTTGATCTTTCATAGATATAAACTGACTGTTAAAGAGATGTGGGAAAATCAGAATCCGAGAAAAGAGCTTTGAGAATTGGGGTGCTGTCTAATAAAGACAGCTCTGGAATTCTTTAACCTTGCTCCTAGGCCCCCACTTTATAAAGATAGAGGATACAGTTACTTTAGGTTTTTTTAAGGGAAGAGACTGAAGAGGAAAGATAATATTTTAAAATAAGCAGACTCCAAAAAAATGTAAGTTTGAGAAGTTAGCTTCTTATTTGTGCAGATGGCAGAAGACTGTTCGAGTAGCATGCTTGAAATGGATGGAGGGGGCAGAGCTTGAACCAGGATTCTTGTCCTGTACACTGTACCATCAAGACAAATATTCTATGGGGTGCCTGGGTGGCTCAGTTGGTTAAGCATCTGCCTTTGGCTAAGGTCATGATCCCAGCGTCCTGCGGCGGGCTCCCTGCCCTGTGGGGAGTCTGCTATCCCTCTCTCTCTCCCTCTGCCCCTCCCCCTGCTTGTACTCTCTCTCTCAAAATAAAATAAATAAAATCTTTTTAAAAAGATAAATATTCTATATAAAAGCCTTTGAAGTTGAGTGTGAAAGAGAGGAAAATGTTGCCAGACAGAAAAAGAACTTAAATATCATAGTCTGTTTATCTGTGTCTGAGGTGAAACCAGTAGTATCTCTCCTTCTGGGGAAAATCTAGACAGAATCACTAGAACCAGTAACTTCCTTAATGTAGGTGGGGGTGGCTTTTCTTTGTTTTTTTCCCCCTCTGAGGGAACCTAAACTTCCTCTGGTGAAACTTTAAATAATAGCCCTTGGAATCTGTGGCCATTGAATGTAGCATTTAATTGAACAGCTAATTCTGTTCGCATTTCCCTAACTCCCATCTATTCCTTGTACTTGCTCAAAAGTAGTAGTCTTCCTTGCAGATGGTAAATTACTGCATTGCTTTTCACCAGCTGCCAGCTTCTACCTCAGATGTCCTCTGAGATGTGGGTGGAATGGTCCTAGTTTTTCTATAAAGTTTTAAAAAAGCACTTTAGGCTCCTACAGATCAAAGCTGCTTTGTAAGTGTGAGATATTATCATTTTTATTATTTTAATCTCTTGCAAATTGACTTGAGGGGGGAAGGTAATGTGTGCTGGGTTTAGAGGCTTAAATGGTTAAATTAATGGCTTAATAACTTATGATTTAATCTTTAAATTGTTAAAGCCTTTCAAGGTAGACTTTTAGATGAGTGGAAGGCTAAGGAATAGAAAAGTAAGTGTCTATACAAGCTTATTCAAAATTGTTTCGATTCATGATTCACTGTCTGGATCATCCATATACCCTTAAAGTTACAAAAATTATTTCCATGTCACCAGTATAATAAATTCATATTAGACTTTTTGGTTTTCTCGGGGGGAAAAAAAATGTCATTCCCTTTAACTAAGTACAGTAACAGAAAAAAGAATGAGGCATAGGTGTCTTAGAAATATATTAGAAATATTGCAAAATCTTTCCCTGCAAGTAGTTTTCACATTGTTGCCTAATGATAGGTTGACAAAAGCCTGCGGGCTCAAACCAGTCTAAAGGTGCTAAGTCTTCCAGGCTGCTTTTGAAAATGAAAATGCCATTCCTCAGTACTTCTAGCCTACCTCCCACTGCTGTTCTCTTCCCTTCATTTTTAGTGTTAGGATAGTAAGATACTTTCTTTCTTTTTTTCAGAGCACAAATAATCTATAATTTTTTATCAATTCTGGAAAGACATTTCTTTCCTTTTACGTGCTGCTCCTCCTCAAAGATGCAGCTTTTCTAATCACAAAAATAATTTAGAAAATATAGAAAAGAGCACAGAAGAAAAAAAAAAAGGACTCCATATTTGTCCTTCAGTTTTCTTCTATACTCAGACACACACACATTGTTTATTGGGGATCACATTGGACATACTGTTTTAAACATGCTTTTTTCACTTAATATATTATGGCTTTTTTTTTTTCAGTGTCGTTAAAATGTATTTCAGTATTACGTTAATAGCTGTATAGTATTCGTTTAAACATTCCCCTTTTGCTGAACATTTAGTTTGTTTCCAGGTTTTTTCACAATTAAAAAAAATATTCTGTAGAACCACCAAACTAGGGAAATCACTACTCCCCATTTTCTTACTAGATTTTTCTAAGAGTAGCATCATATTTTAATGGCTGAGAACTTGGGCTTAGGTTTCAGATAGATCTGCCTTTGAATCCCAGCTCCACCACACTTACCAGGCCTTATAGTCACTTAACCTATAAGCCTCTGTTTTGCCGCCTATGAAATGAAGATAATATTCAGAATTAAATGAGATGATAATCTATGTAGAGTATCATGCAGTGCCTTGGGATATCATATGTGCTCAATAAAGTGTAGTGGTTATTTTTACATATCATTAATACTGTATATACATTTCCGGTTACTTCCTTAGGATAAATTCTCAGAATTGGGATTGCTAAAGTAAAAACATAAATATTTTGAAGATTTTTGATAAATATTGGTATCAAAACTCTTATGTAAAAATACTGCTGATTTATAAAGTCCACCTCTTCAAAAAGTTGTACTGATTTACACTCGCAGCCCCATCATGTGAGTGAGTGTCCATTGCCTTGGACACTCACCCATACTTGATGTTATTAAAATTTTTTTTTTTTGCCAGGGTGCCCGGCTGGCTCAGTCGATGGAGCATGTGCCTCTTGATCTCGGGGTTGTGGGTTCAAGCTGCATGTTGGGTGTAGAGATTACTTGAAAATAAAATCTTTAACAATTAATTAAAATCTTTTTTGCCAATTTGAGAGGTAAAAGATTAGCATTTAAAATTATTTCTTCAGCT